CTGGACAACTGAAGTGTGGCTAAGCCTCATAAATAATGGTTTTAGTTATTGAGTCAGATAGTCAGATAATAAGCTGAATTATTTAACGATGTAGAAATGATAGAATAATCAAGGTAAAAGTAACAGAACTCAACAGGTTGTATCTACATCAGACGTTCTCGTGTGGATTGTGACCACATTCTGATACAGTTTGTTCGTGTTGTCGTCATGGCTGTGATTGCAGTGTTAATGTGCTTTGAGTGTATCAACAATGAACTATGTGACAGTACCGTTAACGCTTGGTACTTATCAAACTCAGGGAGTCAGAGGAGAATATGAGAAGTACAAATGAGCACGTCAGTCAGTGCAAGTTGAATGACCTTTATAAACATGTGCTCTGACTTTGCCACTCACCCTCAACCCCTGACAATGATGATGATGATGATGATAACATTTTTCGAAATTCTGTTAAGAAAATGAGAACATTCCATACTAAAAAACTACAGATCATCGTCATGTAGCAGGTCCTTTGCAGAACGTCGCTCTCATCACGGTCCGCCTGAAAGAAACTCGGTCTTTCGCCAGCTCTCCCACCTCATGTACTTTCATACTCAAGGAGTCACTTATATCCTGTGTCCATCTTCGTGTTGGTCGGCCATTCCCCTCGTTCATGGTATCATGCCTTCTGCTATTATGTTTTCCAATCCGTCGTTGCTCTTGATATGACCAAAAATCCTTACAATTTTATGCAACGCTTTCTGTGTCAGCTCAATTCTGAAATCGCCTCATTTATCTCAGAAACAATGAATTCAAGAGAAATTTGACTAAAAAGCTCAACAAAATGGGAAAGAGGAAAACGTGCACAAAACAACACAACGTAACGTTTCGGCCGGGCAGCCTTTTTCAAACACAAGTGAAATACACAAAACGTTTGTGTATTTCACTTGTGTTTGAAAAAGGCTGCCCGGCCGAAACGTTACGTTGTGTTGTTTTGTGCACGTTTTCCTCTTTCCCATTTTGTTGAGCTTTTTAGTCAAATTTCTCTTGAATTCATTGTATTAGCTTGACTGCAGTCACCCCCATATTTTCACCATCTCAGAAACAGTTGTTAATTTACAACTACGAAAGAAGAGATTAATCTCACCGTGTTAACATTGGCGTGAGTTGCATAATGATAACAAGGAAGGGAGAGAATTCTATTAGTGCAATCTTAGCTTATCCCGGAACTGGTCGGGTTTCGGTGGAAATTTGGCCAAAGTTCAAATACGTGTCTTACAATAATTTAGCTTCAAGTTAAATCTGGAGGGAAAAACCTGGTCGGTGGATTAGAGATGGCGATTAGTTAACATCTGTTCGCAGTTGATCGCAAATGGTATGCAAGGAAACGGGTATTTTAATGGATTCCTCTTTCTAACGTTTTATTCAGTATCAGCAGTAAACAGAGTTTTCAAAAATAACCTTGGTTTACAGGTCGACCCGCCCCTAAATGGGTACCAGGTGCAGTCCTGGGAAGTAAAGACGGCCGTTGTGATATTTACAACATCCCCAGTCTATTGCCGGTTGGTCTATAAAACATAGTTCTAGCCATATATATCCAATACGACTGAAGGCGTAGAAAGAACAACACTAATAAAGATAATGAAGGTGATGACGATAATTAGAACATACTGAATGTCCAGGCAATATAACTATATTTGAAACACTGCTGTATGAACGAAAACAAAGTAACAGAGAATTTCTATAGTTACTGGCAAAAATAGGGGAAAGGTGGGGGAAAGTTGGCGGGGGGGGGGGGTGTTTATCTTAGCCACTTAGACATTTAATGTGGCACTGGCGCGGGGGGGGGGGTGGCATTTCTGATCCACCTGACACATTTTGGTGCCTCTAAAGTGCCCCAAGCCACCAAATTTCCTAATTAGTTGACTTTTGCGACACGTCTGTAACGGGTTGATGAGTCACACCCCCTCCCCTTTTCCCTTCCATGGAGCCCTAAAACACTCTGGGGGGAGACAGCACATGTTTAAAATGATCCTCACTATCACCATTTAAAAGAAATAAAACCACCCCACCCTTTTTTACATAACAAGCATGTCGTAACAGTGGACTGCTTGGAGGTGTTTCCTTCGAAGTCGGAGTTTATCTACCTTAAAGATAAGGAACCAACAGTCTGCATACATTTAAGTCAGAACTGAACACTGGCTTTTTATTTACATTTATAACCATGTTTGTTGTTGTAATGTTGTGAATTCCCGGGGAAATCCCAGAGAGTTCCCGATTGGGGGAAAAGGTCAGAAAACCAGTAAAACAAGAGGAAAGCGAGATAAGCAGGTATCGAGTATTCTGTGGTGAGTGAATGAGGGATACGAGGAAAGCATGAGACTGGAACGGAAGATGTGAACCCAGAGAAGGTAGGAAGGCAGTTGAAGTTCGGACCTGGATGTGTGCGGTCGTGTGCGAGAGAATTGGATTGGATTTTTTTACCCCACCAGGACATCACACAAGCGATAAACACCCGATGACA